ATACATTCATCATTAATGAATAGTGTGAATTAAACTTACAGACTGAACCAATAGAAAGAAGAAACATAATTGACACAGGTAACATTTGTAAGGAGATACAAATAACATTTGTAAGGAGATATAAATAACATTCAATCATTAATGAATAGTGTGAATTAAACTTACAATCTGAACCAATAGAAAGAAGAAACATAATTGACACAGGTAACATTTGTAAGGAGATACAAATAACATTCAATCATTAATGAATAGTGTGAATTAAACTTACAGACTGAAAGAAGAAATATAATTGACACAGGTAACATTTTTAAGGAGATACAAATAACATTCAATCATTAATGAATAGTGTGAATTAAACTTACAGTCTGAACCAATAGAAAGAAGAAACATAATTGACACAGGCAACATTTGTAAGGAGATACAAATAACATTTGTAAGGAGATATAAATAACATTCAATCATTAATGAATAGTGTGAATTAAACTTACAGGCTGAACCAATAGAAAGAAGAAATATAATTGACATAGGTAACATTTGTAAGGAGATACAAATAACATTCAATCATTAATGAATAGTGTGAATTAAACTTACAGGCTGAACCAATAGAAAGAAGAAATATAATTGACACAGGTAACATTTGTAAGGAGATACAAATAACATTCAATCATTAATGAATAGTGTAAATTAAACTTACATCCTGAACCAATAGAAAGAAGAAATATAATTGACACAGGTAACATTTGTAAGGAGATACAAAAACATTCAATCATTAATGAATAGTGTAAATTAAACTTACAGTCTGAACCAATAGAAAGAAGAAACATAATTTACACAGGTAACATTTGTAAGGAGATACAAATAACATTCAATCATTAATGAATAGTGTGAATTAAACTTACACGCTGAACCAATAGAAAGAAAAAATATAATTGACACAGGTAACATTTGTAAGGAGATACAAATAACATTCAATCATTAATGAATAGTTTGAATTAAACTTACAGACTGAAAGAAGAAATAATAATTGACACAGGTAACATTTGTAAGGAGATACAAATAACATTCAATCATTAATAAATAGTGTGACTTAAACTTACAGGCTGAACCAATAGAAAGAAGAAACATAATTGACACAGGTAACATTTGTAAGGAGATACAAATAACATTTGTAAGGAGATATAAATAACATTCAATCATTAATGAATAGTGTAAATTAAACTTACAGTCTGAACCAATAGAAAGAAGAAACATAATTTACACAGGTAACATTTGTAAGGAGATACAAATAACATGCAATCATTAATGAATAGTGTGAATTAAACTTACACGCTGAACCAATAGAAAGAAAAAATATAATTGACACAGGTAACATTTGTAAGGAGATACAAATAACATTCAATCATTAATGAATAGTTTGAATTAAACTTACAGACTGAACCAATAGAAAGAAGAAACATAATTGACACAGGTAACATTTGTAAGGAGATACAAATAACATTTGTAAGGAGATACAAATAACATTCAATCATTAATGAATAGTGTGAATTAAACTTACAGGCTGAACCAATAGAAAGAAGAAATATAATTGACACAGTTAACATTTGTAAGGAGATACAAATAACATTCAATCATTAATGAATAGTGTGAATTAAACTTACAGTCTGAACCAATAGAAAGAAGAAATATAATTGACACAGGTAACATTTGTAAGGAGATACAAATAACATTCAATCATTAATGAATAGTGTAAATTAAACTTACATCCTGAACCAATAGAAAGAAGAAACATAATTGACACAGGTAACATTTGTAAGGAGATACAAAAACATTCAATCATTAAAGAATAGTGTAAATTAAACTTACAGTCTGAACCAATAGAAAGAAGAAATATAATTGACACAGGTAACATTTGTAAGGAGATACAAATAACATTCAATCATTAATGAATAGTGTGAATTAAACTTACACGCTGAACCAATAGAAAGAAAAAATATAATTGACACAGGTAACATTTGTAAGGAGATACAAATAACATTCAATCATTAATGAATAGTGTGAATTAAACTTACAGACTGAAAGAAGAAATATAATTGACACAGGTAACATTTATAAGGAGATACAAATAACATTCAATCATTAATGAATAGTGTGAATTAAACTTACAGTCTGAACCAATAGAAAGAAGAAACATAATTGACACAGGTAACATTTGTAAGGAGATACAAATAACATTCAATCATGTAAATTAAACTTACAACCTAAACCAATAGAAAGAAGAAATATAATTGACACAGGCAACATTTGTAAGAATATACAAATAACATTCAATCATTAATGAATAGTGTAAATTAAACTTACACGCTGAACCAATAGAAAGAAGAAATATAATTGACACAGGTAACATTTGTAAGGAGAGACAAATAACATTCAGTAAAAGTAAAATTAAACTTACAGACTGAATCAAAGAAGAAATATAATTCATACAAAGCAACATTTAGGATAGACAAGTATCATTAATGAATAGTGTAAATTAAACTTACAGACTGAACCAATAGAAAGGAGAAATATCATTCACACAGGTAACATTTGTAAGGAGAGACAAATAACATTTAATCATTAATGAATAGTGTAAATTAAACTTACATACTGAACCAATAGGAGAAGAAATATACCGGGGTAATTGACACAAGTAACATTTGTAAGGAGAGACAAAATAACATTAATGAATAATGTAATATAAACTTACACCCTAAAAGAATAAAACATAATTTACAATTTTACATTCAATGATTAAAACTTACTTCCTGAACCAATAGAAAGTAGAAATAAAATTCACATAAAAAAATTTGTAAGGAAAAACAAACAATGTAACTTAAACTTACATCCTGAACCTAATTCACACAAATAGGAGAGACAAGACAAATAGCATTCAATCATTTATGAATTGTGTAAATTAAACTTATAGAAATAAATAAAATGTATGTGAGAGAAACAATTTACCATATGTTTCTTCACTTTCTTGATGTCTTTATGTTTCTTGATGTTCTGAAGAAGTGCAGTAGTATACACCATCATTGTAAAATGAATTTCAATTTAATTATTTTACTCACCACTAACAAATATGTATTACTTACTCTGATAATGGTTTTAAATGCCTCATCAATATTACTACCTGTAATAGCTGAAGTTTCTAGAAAAAGCATGTTCCTTTTTTGAGCTAACCACTCTCCTTTTTCCTTTGGAACTACTCTCTGGCTCCCCAAGTCTATCTTATTACCTACCAGCAATATCTTAATAGCAGACTCACCAAACTAGATTTAAAAACAATGGAAACATATGACACAAAAAATACAAATGTATCTATAATATATTGAACATGTTATATAGTCTTACTTCTAAATGTGGCAGCCTATCTATATTCTCAACTGTTTCAAATGATTTATTACTAGTGACATCATAGACCAGCATTACACCCTGCATACCCTGCATCAGTGAAACATAAAATAAAAGTTGTTTGTAATGTATGATTAGCATTACATACCCATCTAATTAGACTTAAAAATTGCCACTCAGTCTTATGAATATCTTTATATGATATATGTATCTCAATGGTATCAGAATCAAGTTCTACAATCTTTTTCTTCAAATTAAAATCTATATATAATTATTATAT